TGGTTGGTTGGTTGGTTGGTTGGTTGGCTGGTTGGTTGGTTGGTTGGTTGGTTGGTTGGTTGGCTGGTTGGTTGGTTGGTTGGTGGTGGTGTTTGAAACCTTATGTATTCGATGCTATGACTCATGCTCGTTTGCTTGCTTTTAGGGGACACGTAACACTGAACCCACCCATTCTCACCTACAAAACTATATTCCATCGACATTGTTTTTTCGCCCGTTCGAAATCGAGACCCCTCCTTTTTCCATCTACCCTTAAGCTTTTGTCTTTCTCTCTCTTCTCGCAAGAACACCTACCACCCTTTTCGCGACCTTTTTCAAGCACACTTCACCGAACTCAATTCAAACACTATCGTCACGATATATTTCTATTGAGATCTCTGCTAAACCATGACGCTATAGGAAGGGGAGCAGCAGCAGCAGCAGCAGCAGCAATGCGACCCATCAATACGATTTAATAATGATTTCTAGTGCCTAACTCCCCCCCCCCCTCCATCAAGTAGAATTACGCCAATGACCGAATAGCCTGTCGACCTTGTTCGCCTTTAACAGAACTCCATAATGGCGACGAATCATTCTCATATACATGAAGAATCACCGTTCGCAGGCAAAAATAAAAAAAGAAATACAAAATCAAATCCATTAATCCTACTCGAGCAACAATGAAAACAACTACAATTTATTTTATATTGTTACCCTTCATTTTATATTGTCCAAATACATTTTTATCGTTAATTACATTATTTTATTTTCAATTAATCCCTTTAATACATATCTTTTACGGGGATCAATATTTTTGAAAATAATTCATAATTTATCATTTTTAAATGATAATAACAAAATTTATTTCCTTATAATATCGAGTTAGAATTATAAAATAAAATTTATGATATGTTATATAATATTAAATGTGTGGTATATACCATATTGAAGGGGGGAATAAATGAGGATGATATTCTTCTATTGATGCGTGATTAGAGAGTTATACGGGCCTCCCCATAGAGGAAGGGTTAATAACTAAGACAACAACAACAACAACAATATTATAAACGAGAATAATTTTTATGATCTATAAATAATGAATAGACAATAAAGTACATAAAAAGAAAATACATATATATTATCAATTTATAATATTTTTGCATTTAGTCGAGTGAAAATAAATTTGACAAATATATATTACATTTATTTGTTCTGGTCTCTTTCATAAACACAGTAGTAGTACGTTCAACAACCTGCTCTTTCGAAAATAAATTTGTTTCGTCTAATTAACGTCCATCATGAAGGGAGAAGAGGGAGCGGGAGCGGGAGCGGAGACGGGGAGGCCCCGGTAAGAGGAAAAAGAAGGGGTGAGGAGGTGGGGGAGGGTGCGTTCTCGTTGGCGAGAACGTTGTTTGTTAACGAAGATTGGAAAGAGAGATCTCGAAAGAAAGATCTTCGCGGTTTGTGCGTTAAGAATATTCGCCGAGTGTAACCGTGGCCTTGGTTTTAAAGCGCGAGCTGCTTCCGGAAGAGGTTAATACCCGAAACGCATCGCTGCCTTCGGAGGTCTGGATCGTGTCGCTCGGATGCTTCCACAACCACCATAATATAATAATAACATATTTATATATCATATTTATATATATATATATATATNTATATATATATATATATATATATATATCAATCTTTATGTACAATTTTATTACATAATACGCAAGATAAGAGTATATATATGTTACCGTGAAAGACCGAAATTGGATAATCCGTCAAAATTCGCATAATTACAATTGGTCTGAAAAAATTATTAAATGTATAACAAAAATAAATCCAAATATTCGGTCTTTCGCCGAAGTAATACGTATTTGTTATATGTTGACAATCACTGCGTGAATCTTGACATCATTCAATTTCGATTTTTCACGTTAACACATAATATACCGTATCAAATATTTGTATAGATATATATTTCTTTTATCAATTAAAAAATTATATCTCAAAGTCGATAAATCGAGAAATCATCATACACTGGGGTGATGGTTGGTTATTCACATCATGTAACCGTTAAAAAAGAAAAGAAACGAATAAAAGAAAGTTCGATGATACGATGATGATAGAAAGAAGATTGGAAAAGGGCCAGGTATATTGAAGTTTTCTCTAACAGTTAAAGTCTAGTCTAGTCTAGGTAGGCGCCACGGTAAATCGGTGGCCGCGTTTGTTGGTCAATTAAAGTCTGGAGCAACAACCGGTACAACGTGTGGTATATAGCAGTGTTGTAGAAGGCGAACGCTCCGCGTCGTCGTCGGTGAACGTCCGCGGGGGGTCGTCGACCTAAGCTGCTAAGAGAACGAACGAACCAACTCCACCGTCTCCGATTTGTTCTACGTGCCTCTTACGTTTTACCCACCGTCGTCCGTTTGTCCACTCTGGCAAATTTCGATATTCTTCGTCATTCTTTCAGATTCAATTTTACCCCGTATCTTCATTTCGTCCCCCATTAGCGTTTATTCTTTTAATAAGAAAACAAAACAAAAAAGGAACAACAGAACAAGAACACGAGAAAACGATTTTTATATCAATATTCTTCTTCGTTTCGTCCTCGTAAATTTTTTCATTACGAATACAGTTACGTTGTTGTCGTTTAATTTACTTACCTATTTATTTATTTACGAAATCGAGAGAAATTTGAACTAACGTATTTTTTCGTTGAGAATGGATTTTTATTTTCTACTTTTTCTTTTTCTCTTGTTGTTGACAGCAATTATTTCGCAGTCAGCCACAAGGTGCAACGCCTCAACAATTACAGTTGCTCCAGCAACAACAGCAACAACAACAGCAGCAACAATATTTGGCTGCATCCCAGGCCCAACAGCAACAACAACAACAACAACAGCAACAACAAAACTTTCCTACGGCACCATATACCGTTATCAGCGGACAAGAACCATATGTAGGAGCATTGATAGCTGGTGGACCGCCACAAGTGGTACCACAGTATTATGGAGTAGGCCCGTGGGTTTATCCTGCTGGTCTACTACCGCAAGCACCTCCGCAAGCTGCAGCTCCACCTCCACCTAGACGACCTCTAACACCTTCGTCGGCAGCGGCTGCTGCAGCTGCTGCTCAGGACACCGCTAATAATTTGGCACAAACGGTACAATTTCCTTTCTTTTTCTTTTTTTTTTTCCCCTAAACAAGAATGATATAACAATGTTTTGTAAACTCATAATAAAGTACTAGATAAATTCAAACCTTTGATAACGTAATAATATTTACGTATGCGTTGTTCTTTTTATAGGTTCAAGGTCAATACCAAGTTATACCAGCTTACTACGATCAAAATGGATCTATAGTCATGGGCGGCGTACGTGGCCTTAGTTCCGCGGCAACTCCAATGAGATTAGTCAGTCCAGCACCCGTTCTTGTAAACAGAGCTCCTTCACAACCACCTCCTGGACCACCTGCTCCACCACCACCGAGTCTTTATTCACAAGCGACTCCAACATCTCACAGCAATGCTACGCCTGGTGAATGTATAGGTAATATTTTTGACCTATAGTAAACGTCGTCTTCCAAACCAATTTATACTCATTCGAACCACAAATCTGAAAATGATCGATCTGTGTCTAAGTTTACTATTTCTATTATGATTTTATGTCAATTATGCATGTATATATTTTGTAAAGTTTTTCAATGGCTCTAAAATTATATTTGTAAATTTTTTGATTGTAATTATTTTAACGTCTTATCATCGATCATATTACATTTTGTATATTAATCATGTTTGTGCGTTTTGTTAACAATATTGTCACTAAATTACAACCAAGTAACATATATACATATATATAAATTATAAAATTATGGAATCGAGCACACCACCAATTCAAATAAAATAAACATTCGTGTGGAAGTTGATCGAAGGATCTTGGATAATTCAATGGTTGAAGCAGTCATCCGTAAAGCAGGAGAGGCCAGAGTGCGAATCCAGTCACAACCTAACAGCACAATTTCTTCATAAATCCTACATTATTTATATATATATATATATATTTTTTTTTTTTTTTTTTAATTTATATGTAAATCATCATAATCATAAAACAAAGAAGCTCAGCGTCATACATGTGCATGATGTGTAGGAATGTATATCGGATTAGGCTTCGTTTAGATGGTATATGGTTTGTAACAAAGACCAAAATCTCATTGATAACTAAGAGCATTGTGTGGGTTTGCGGGCTTTCGGTGCAGGTCTGGCAGCGTGCAATCCAGCAGTCGTTGCACAAGCTCAAGCAGTTGCCGTACAACAGGTACAACAACAAGGAACGGGACTTGCAGCAGGTCTAGCGGCTTTGGGATATGGAGGTTCTCCTCTTGGAGCATTGGGTTCACCTGCCCAACTTCAAACTACAGGTATACGACGAATTTCATCGTGTTTGGCTTTTTCTTCTCAATCTTATTATTATGTACATAATTTATTAAACGTGCTACTCCGCATGCATTTTAGTTTATCGTCCTTTATAATGTTTCATCTTGTTTCGTTATAAAATATTATTTTTTTTTTTTTTTTATTGAACATACGATCGTTTCTCATTAATTATTTTATAATATAACAATATAGAGCGTATTGTTTCTGTTCCAATTCATTTTGCTTTCTTCATAATTGAAACATTGTCTGTGCAGGTTTAGGACTTGGAGCATCTTCGACAGGAAGAAGGGATTCCTTTGACAGAAATACTTCGGCATTCAGTCCAAGTTTGGAATACAGTCGAGCGAAATGGCCACAAAGTTATGGAGCACTTGGTAATTATTTTTTTTTTTTTAATTTACGCGTACATGATATTGTATGTTGTACAATGCAATTACATGCTTTCAAATATGCGGATTATTGGAATAGAATTACGACAATATTAGATTTTGTCAATAACTGCATAATAACGAGCAATAACTCTGTGTTTTATACAATTGGTAAATAATATGTTTAGGTACAGTAACAGCTTCTCCAAGTCCACTAGGATTATCCGTAACTCCACCACCAATTTTGGGAGGGTCTTTGGGCGGACTTGTAGGAGGTGCGAATCGAGTATCAGCTGCTCCAGGTGCTGAAGCCAAATTTCGCGCAAGCACTGTACCAGCATTGACAGCTAATGGTGTTTTTGGATCGAGCAGTTCACTTTTTCCTAATTTAGTCGGTAAAGCTGCACGTACTGGAACTACAAATATTAGTGACAAAAATACTAGTGGCCGATCTCGTCTTTTGGAGGATTTCAGAAATAATCGGTTATTATCATTATTTTTTCTTCTTCTGCTTCTTCTTCTGCTTCTTCTTCTGCTTCTTCTTCTTCTTCTTTTTCAATGAAACTAGTAAAAGAATATTAAATACCAAGCTATAATAAATCCTTTTTCTTGCAGATTCCCGAGTCTTCAGTTACGCGATTTGGTTAATCATATCGTTGAATTCAGTCAAGATCAACACGGTTCACGTTTCATTCAACAAAAATTAGAACGTGCTTCTGCTAACGAGAAACATCTTGTATTTCAAGAGATACTTGCATCAGCTTATTCTCTTATGACAGACGTTTTTGGAAATTATGTTATACAAAAGTTCTTTGAATTTGGCACTCCCGAACAGAAATCTACTTTAGCTCAAAAGGTATAATTATTATATTTTAATTAATGCTTTATTCGTTTTCTATTTTTTTTATTGAAACTAAATAGATACATATGTATATATATATAT